AGCAATTTAAGGCTAACCTTATGGTATTTGGGTGGAAATCTATGATGTAATTATGGTAAAAGGGCTTTAGGGAATTATTTGCCATTTATGGGAATTTATTTGATTTTTGTATATTTATCTCGATATTTCCCACTTGTACGGGTAACTCTTGTTGTTTATGGCTGGGCACGAGGTAAACACATTTAATTTATCTCATAAGTATGCTTCTGTTTTAGAGTTACCTTCAAATAAAAATTTATTGTTATATAATCATATTTATTGCAAATCTCATAATTTGTGAGAAAACCTAGAGTAGTAAGATGATGATTACAACGTTTATACCTATTAATTAATAATTAATAAAGCTTGGCATGAAGAAAGTAGTGGTGACACCATGTACGGCTATGAGGTATGTTATAACATCCGAACTTTTTTAACAAAAAAATTTAACCAAATACCATAACAATAAAAGTATTTAAACAATGAAAATAATTACAATACTATAAAAATGTAAAACAAATTCTCAAATATATCTTTAAAAGGTAACCATGTTAAAAAAGAATTAATCTAAATTTTAGAGAGATACCATGGTTATAAAAATATTCATCTTAATCTAATTAACATTTGCCTCTACTATTGTAGAAAAATATTTCCAAGCGGCATTACACTATATTATAATAGGAAAGGTTAAAAGTTCTCTTTTTTTAAACATATACATTCTAAAGTAAAATGCAAGCAAAAGTATTAAACAAGCAATGAAATAAATGAAACTATGCTTATGGTGTGGCAGCAGGGTCATTCTTTAAACCATACTTCTCCAAGAATTGGTGATCCTTGCACCTACTCCCTTATCTGAGCTTCACTAGCCATTCCTATAGCATTAAAAATAAGAGTAAGACAATGTCTTACTAACCTCCTCAAAAGTTACGGTGTATCTTAAGTTAATAAATAATTCAATCTAATGGGTTTTCACAATCAGCAATTACACACTCTCTCTATGTTAGTTATATTTGCGTGCGTGCGTGCGTGTGTTAGTTATATCTCAAACAAGCATGCTATAAAAGTTTAAATCATAAGAGAGCTAGCATGCTTGGGGAAAAAAAAAAAAACAAAGTGTGTGTGAGAGCGTGTGTGTGTGTGTTAGTTATATCTCAAATAAGCATGCTATAAAAATTTAATCATAAGAGAGCTAGCATGCTTGGAAAAAAAAACAAACAAACACCTCTTCATTAATGAACTCAAAAGGTACAAGCACATCAAAAAGTCTAAACTATACAACTCAAGAAAATATCATGACACTCAATATTTAGGTAACAATTATATTAATTTCATATAATAAGTCATATAATATCTCAAAAATTCTTTTCATCAATAGTTATATTTTTATTATTTTTTATTTCACTTTATCTCCTCCTTATTTTTATCATCAAGGTAATTTCTAAATTATTACTTAAAGAATTATAGTCATATAAAATTTATATTTAACTATTTATTACTTTCCATTTATCCCAAAGTATTCCTGGAGGCTATATTTAACTTTAGAATCATTCTCATCAAACTATTCTCATTTTATTTTATATATTTCTAACATTAAAGCTTCCTAGAGATTCCCCAAGATAACCCTAAATCATATTAATCATTACTTTTTAACTTTAAAGTACTCATGATCACATTTTATAAGTCCTAAACATTTAATAAGTAAAATTTTCATCCCAAAATTTATTTTGTAGATTCACTTTTAATTTATAAGTTTCTTTAAATAGTTTTAAAAAAATTTCAACGGCCCTCAGAGTCATCTAAAATTCTCTAAAGCTATTTTCTATCACTTTTAAATAGTCTTAGTGTTACTACTTAATAACTTTATCCAATTTCTACGATCTCTCCCCAGTTTTAAATCAACTTAAATCTAATAATTTTAGGTAGAGCAAAAATCTTAGAATACTTACTTAGTCTTAAAATGATTTAATCCATTTTGAAAAAAACCTGAAAATGACCTCTCAAAAAATTTTGCTAGCTTGCTCTCGCGTTCCCTCATGATTTCCTCTACCACCAGGGACACCTCGCTTTCCTACGCTCATTGAATTGGGATAAGGGTATTGGATATTTGTTTTTTTTTTTTTTATAACAAAGACCCAACTAGGGGTCACTAGCATGATGCATGTCCTTATTTAGCAAATCTAAAAGACTAATAGGAGGAATGCCAATAATAGAATAGACAGGCTCCAATGTCCAGCGCTTGTTAAGCAAGATGATGTGCTGCTGCGTTGGTAGAGGAAGATGGATGAACCGAACTGTCCACTCACGCCGATGAAGGGCTTCAATCTCTTTCAGAACATCATAATCAGGGTGAGAATGACTAACCACATCAGTACTTAGCTTGATAGCCTCAGTAGAGTCAGATTGGATTATAATCTTTCTAATGCTCGTATCTTATCGCAGTCGAAGTCCAAGAAGGATGCCCCACAGTTCTGCCACCAAACAATCTCCTTGTGGCATGCTGTGTTTGAAACCTGCAACAAAGCTTCCTGAACTATCACGAATCACCCCTCCACACCCAAACTTTCTAGTTGTATGAGAATAAGCTCCATCGACACAAATAGAAGCCCAACCTTGATCTACTGTTGACCACTGTTGCTGGTTGTTACAAAGTCTTGACCCATTCCAATTAATATCTGAAATTCTCTGCTGAGTAGAGGCTAACGTTGAAATGATAGCATTGGCTTCAAGCAACACTTCGTTGAATTTAGATTTGTTCTTAAACACTCTTTCATTTCTTCTTCTCCATAAAAGCAAGCAAATGATAGCGAAAAGAGCAGACCAATCACCATAATCCGTCTTGAAATTACAATTAAGGTTTTGGTTGAGCCAAGAAGAAAGAGGAAGATTGAAGAACTCTGCCTATTTTATTAGATCCATTAAGCTTTTCCATAAACAAACCGTGTCTGTACAATCTCATAGAACATGCATAATGTCCTCTTTGTCCGTGTTGCACCAAGTTCATTTATCATCATTTGTCATACCCTTCTCCTTCCTCGACGTGTTCATTAGTAGTCATTTATGCTTAACAAGCCAAAGGAAAGACGTACAGCGTTGGGTGACATGCAGTTTCCATATCTTCTCCCAAGACCGATCAATGGTTGACAGGCTACCTACACGATTCTCATAAGCGGACTTGATAGAGAAGTCCCCATTTCTGTTGTGTTTCCACCGAATCTGCCTCCCCTTCTCTAACACCTTGATGCCAGACTGAACTGTGTCCCAAGTAGTCTTAATACCTGACCAAACATTCAAGCCAGCCTTCTTCATTTTAATTTGAGGCATTAGGTCTTCACCACAATTATACTTGCTGCGTATCACCTTAACCCAGAGATCATATCTTTTCTTCACAATAGCCCGACGTAGCTTCATAAGAAAAGCATGATTATTTGTTCTAGAATGACGTAAACCAAGTTCACCGGCTTTCTTTGGTTGGCACACTTTCTCCCAGGCGACCAAATTTATCTTCTTCTTATCAGTCGTGCTCCCCCACAAAAAATTATGATTAAGTTGATCAAAAGTGGCACAAGCGTTAGCTGGAATATAGGAAGTCTGCATGACATAAGACGGGATAGCCGAAGTAACTGATGCAATAAGAGTATTCTGCCCTGCAGGAGATAAATGGTTAATCTTCCATTATGATAATCTCCCCTTAACCTTGTCCACATGCAATTTCAATAAAGGACTCTGTGCCCACTCTCTTGTGGCGCAGTGGCACTCTAAGGTATTTCCCTAGATCCGTCGTCTGAGTATAACCTAACAAACTGCTAATCTCCACCTGCCAGTTGACCTAGACATTCTCGGAGAATAAAATGCTGGTCTTTGAAGCATTTACTTTCATGCCTGAGCTGGCACAGAAAGTTTCTAAGCACTCCCTCATAATTCTAGCTTGGTCTATGGATGCTTTGGCAAACAATAAAAGGTCATTAGCAAAACATAAATGAGATAAGGGGGCCCATTCTTCCCAAGCCGGATAGGATGCCGCTGGCCAATATTGCACCTCTTCTGTATTAAATGAGATAACTACTCCATGCAAATGACGAATAGATATGGCGACAACGGGTCTCCTTGTCTAACTCACCCTACTAAGTGTGAAGGTGGCAGCCATGTTTCCATTCCACAGGATTTGCATGGACGCCGAAGATATAATGTTTGATAATCTCAATTATATGCGACAGTAACTTTACCTCCTGAAGGTAGTTAACAATGAACTGCCAATTAAGCCTATCATACGCCTTTTTAAGATCAATTTTAATCGCTATAAAACCCTTTCTTTCCTCATACTTCTCATGGAATGCATTACTTCTTGAGCGATGATAATATTGTCTAAGCTATGTCACCCAAAAATGAAATTGCATTGATAAGGGGAAATAATCTTCAGAAGCACCAATTTTAATCTATTCGTAAGAGCCTTGGTTAGAATTTTGAAAATGACGTCGTAAAAACTGATAGGACGAAGATCATGAATCGACTTCAGATGCTCTTTCTTCAGTATAAGAACTAAGAATATTTGGTTGATCTCCTGAATTCTCTCTGGGTGATCAAACAAATTTTGTATTAGCCTCACCACAGACGTTCCCATAGTTTTCCATTGACTCTGGCAGAATATAGGGCTCAAGCCATTCGAACCTGGAGATTTCAAAGTGCCCATATCAAATATAGCTTTATGTATTTCTGCTTCAGTAATTAGACTCCTAAGGATCTCAATCTCATCTAACTTGATTGTAGGATAAGACACGTCACACTGAATGACGCCCCTTATATCTTCCTCTTTAGTAAATAAGTCCTCGAAAAATAAGGTAGTCATTATTTGAAGACTCTGGTTGTCATATATCCACTTGCCAGTGTCACTTTACAATGCCATGATTCTGTTTGCCTTTCTTTGACCATTAGCTTTTGAAAGAAACAACTTTGAATTTTGATCGCCATATAAGGACCAGTTAGCTTTAGATTTCTGTGCCCACATGATATTTTCATGTAGCATAATTTCCTCAATCTCTTTACACAAACTACATAGAAGCTAATCAATTGCTGGATGAGGATTTCCACGTTGGAGAGATAGGTTGATTCCATCAATTCTCTTTAGAAGTTTTCTCTTACATGATGCACATGAGAATCTGGATATCTTAGCATTCCACTCACCTTCCATAAGCTAGGAATCCTTCATAAAGGCTTCAAACTTCTCATGCAGGACCCAGGAAGCCAGAAATTGCAAACGAGCAGACTGCTTCTCCACCATCAACTACAATTTTAACAACATAGGGTGATGATTAAACTTTAGGAAGTCCAAATGCATCACTGTCGTTGAAGGGAAAAGATTAATCCACATATCATTAGTGAGGCATCGATCAAGTCTATTGCAGCTCTGCCTTCATTGCCAGGTAAATTCTGGACCAATAACTCTAAGATCATGTAGTCCGGATGTTTCAAACTAGTGGTTAAACTCTGAATCAACTCAAGTAGCTCCACCAGATTTAGATCAACGCTCACAATTTAGTAAAGTGGCATTAAGATCCCCAGTAATGCACCACGGTTCATTAATATTACCTCCAATTTTAACAAGCTCATTCTAGAGATTTCTACGAGTAGTCAAATTCGAATTAGCATAGATGATGGTCAGCCACCAGTCCCTCATCCTCGGTCGTTCCACCTTGAGGAGAGCGAACTGTTGATGCTTCATAACAGTACGAATAGAGATAAAATCCTTCTTCCAAAGGTACCAGACACCCCTATTAAAACCTTGAGCGTCGATCACCTTAAAACAATCAAACCCAAGACTGGACGCTATCCTTTTGGCTTTCTCTCCACTGCTACGAGTTTCTAAGATAGCAATAAAATCCAGGCTATAAAACCTTTGAAGCTCACGTATGAGGCCAAGGAAGGTTTTAGACCCTGTACCTCATGAGTTCCAAATCATATAATTTATGTAGAGAGTTGGGCATCAAGTGGGATTATATCTCCCATGATAACCTCCTCATCTTTTGCTTCACAACTTGATTAGTCTGGGCTGGGTTATCCTAGTTCCCGCAATCATTATTTAGGTCGATAGGATCCATCTAGACCTACTGACCCGGGAAAGCCATAATATCCATTTTTGCCTTGTCTTTTTGCATCAAGGCTTGGTCTATCTCCTCCGTTGACTGAACTTAGGCTTTATCATGGGATAAATCCGCACTAGTGGCAAGAACTGCAAATGGATTTGAGCCCACTAATGAGCTCGAGTTTATAGTATTATCCATTGGCCCCTTATGACGTCTAACTGGCTTGTTTTCCCTCCCCCTGTATTTTCTTTTTGGTCCAAACTTCTTAGTGTCATTTAGTGGGACCCATTCCCTAGAGGTATTTCCATCAAGTACCTTTCCGAAGCATGTTGGTAATATCCTTCAATTCTCTGACTTATTCCCAGGTTAATTGATAGAAAATATGGCAAATATTATTTTAGAAGGAAATAATTTATTACCTCTTATTGCCTTTCATTAGTTTATTAGTTTTGTTGTTTTTCATTTAACTTTTGTAAGTTTCCTTCTTGTGAAGGAAACCAAGCAGCAAGTGGATTCTTATTATTTTTCATTAGTTTATTAACTTTTGTAAGTTTCCTTCTTGTGAAGGAAACTAGGCAGCAAGTGGATGTTTCATTGTTAGGAAGGAAACCTCATGCTTATAAATAGTATGACTTGTATTCAGGAAAGGGATGAATGTTTGGAAGCATTATGATTTTCTGAAAGCTCCCTCTCTCTCTCTTTAGTTCTGCATCTCTCTTCTGTTCTCCCTCTCATATTTCAGTCACTTCTCTCTCTTTTCACCTTCTCTGTTCTCACTTTCCCTCCACCTCCCACTCTCTGTTTCTGTTCCTTCTCCCTTATCCTATTCTGTTCAAATCAGTGTGAGCGTGAGTGTTTGTGTTTTACATCAACTTGGTACCAGAGCCTGGTTTGAACATTCCTAGGCTGTTTTCGCGGCCGGAGATCGAAGGAAAACTCTCAGGGGAGCTCAGCATACTCTGTTCACGCTGCCAGCACCCAGAATCACATTTCCCGACGTCAGATCTAAAAACGGACGCTATCATCGTGCTCAGAAGGGAAAATCCGATCAGAACCAGAAAAACCACCTCCACCCAAAGCCATACGCGCCGTCACGCACCGGTGGAGCTTCTGCGCGTGATCTTCACGCGCCTCACGCGTCGTCACACGTGCCGTCCGTACAGTCACCGCCAGAACGTGATTTTAGTGTTTTCTGTGTGTTTTCACGGAATTTGTTCAACTTTAAAGGAGCTGAGGGGCACAAGTCATTATCTAAAACTTAGTTGGGGGTAAAACTTTTTGTTTTGGGCTCCTAAAGCAATACTGGTAAAGCTGATGACCCTTTCATTTAACTGGCTTATTTGGTTCTTGAAGGAAGTTGTTTCATTCGTAGCTAGTTCTGAAATCTTTGTTGTGTGGTACTTTGGTTTCTTTGAGCATTGCAATTTTTATTTTATTTTTATTTTTTAATCATGTTTTAATATTTTGAAAATATATATATTAAAAAAAAGAGGAAAAATTTACATTGATCATTATGTTGTTAATTTGTGACTTTTGATAGCAGTGTTCGTATAACCTAAGACACCTGCCTCACACACAATCCTGCCCTACACCCGTGTCCAAAAAAAAAAATTACCCTAGGTTAGTTGAAGTTTCTAACAGTTTTCCTGAAAGGTTTTTGAACCTTCAGAGATTTCTGTGAAGATTTCACTCAAATTGTTACCTATTTAGCATACGATCCCTGTGGAATTTTTGAATTCTCAAAGGGTTAGTGTTGTTAAAAAAAGGGACTTCCCTATTTAGGTGAGGGCAACTTAGGGGCCTTTCTTCCTTAGGTTATTAAATCTACTCCAAACTTGCACTTTACCATACCATCTTTGTCATTATATGACCATTCGTGATTTATACGATAAGCAAGCTTTATTAGACCAAGAAATTACTGCCCTAAAATCTGTTATGGCTAATAACTCCCAAATCACCCAAAATCATCTTGACGAATCTAAAAGGACTCAAAGGGCATATGTGGACCAGCAGCTAGAAGAAATTAAAGAATTCATGGACAATAAATTTGAAGAGATAATGGGTGCAATTCAGTTGACATACAGACAAGATACAGGGAAAACAACTGAAGGGATACTCGAAAGACCTATCATTAGAGGAGAGTCAAGTTTTAAAAATGAACAATTCCCAGTCCGCAGTCAACTTGGAGGTAATTCCCTTAGGATTGGTCATTCTTCTAGAGCTATGGGTGAAAGACACAGTAGAACATTTCCTCATGAGTTTACCAATAATCATTCTGATGACATAGATGATACTTGGGATGGGCAAGGGCCTAAAGATCAACATCATAGACCATACCAGTTAGTCCATAGGAATGGTAGAGAAGGCCTTAGAAGGACACATATTGATGACATCACCAAAAAGGTTAAAGTTGAAGCTCCTGAGTTTGATGGACAATTGAATCCTAGTGCATTCCTGGATTGGTTAGCTAGCATGGAAGATTATTTTGAATGGTATGACATGAGAGATATTTAGCGAGTTCAGTTTACGAAGATGAAGCTCATGGGATCTGCTAGGAAATACTGGCAAAATGTCCAAAGGAACATTAAGCGACAAGGTTATCCACTGATTGAAATGTGGGATGAAATGAAGGCCAAGCTGAAAGAAAAATATGTGCCGACTCATTATAAGAGTCAACTGTATGACAAATACCTTAATTTGAGGCAAATCTCCACAGCTTACGAGTATATTTCTCAATTCGATGACCTTATGATTAGATGTGACGTGGATGAAGAGGAATGGTGCACTATTAACAAGTTTGTTAATGGTTTCAAGCCATATATACAAAAGGAGCTCAAGTTAAACTTTCCAGAATCTCTTGAAGAAGCTTATCATAAGACTTTGGAAGTAGAGTCTCTGTCACAGTACTCGTCTGCAAAGCGTATCGATGTGCAAAGCAATTAGTTTAGACAAGCACGAACTTCCAGTCTGTCTGAACGACCAACAGGAGCACTTACATCTAGGCCTAGCTCGTCTTTTACACCTACTCAAGCAATTGGGTTAAGGGGTAATACTTCTAACCAGCCTAGTGAGGCTATAGTTCCTGCTTCCCGCCATAACAATTCCTTTGTCGAGTGTTTTCGCTGTCACTCAAAGAGTCATATTGCATCAAAATACCCATAGCGTACTCTAGTTATTGACTCACAATATGAAGGTGAGGAAGACATGCGAATGCTGATATTGTCGTAGATCCAGTTGAGTGTCCTTCAGATGTCGATAAGGACATCATCATTGAGGAACATGGGTGTGAGACACGTCGAGTTGGAGTTATGCGATGCATTCTATCTGTCCCTCTGCCTAGTGATTCATGGAAGTGAACAAGTATTTTTCATACTTTTGTGAAGTGTGGAGATAAAGCTTGCAAATTGGTGATTGATGGAGGGAGTTCGAGAAACGTTATTTCTAGTCAAGGAGTAGCCCGACTCAATCTCAAGACAGAACCTTACCCAGAACCTTTTCATGTTGCATGGGTCAACAAAACTTCTTTACCAGTCACCCAACAATGTCGCGTTCCTCTTCACTTAGGTGACTATAAAGAAGAGATTATTTGTGATGTTCTTTCAATGGATGTTGCTCACATTTTACTTGATCGACTGTGGCTTTATGACCACAATGTTATCAATCATGGTCGTGATAATACCTATACATTTAAGCATGGAGGCAAGACGATCTTGTTACGTCCTGCTAAGCTTGACAACGAAGGCAAGGGCTCAAGTAAATCAAAGAGCACAAAATCCAAAACCCACAATTTACATCTTCTGACAAAAAAATAGTTTGTACAAGAAAGTAGAGAGAGTATGATTGTATTTATTTTGGTATCCAAGATCTCACAACGAATTGCTACTACTTCAAAAATACCGGCAGAAGTGCAACAGCTCTTACAACAATTTCGGGATATCACTCTCGATGAGCTTCCATCTGAATTACCACCAATGAGAGAGATCCAACATGCAATTAATTTCATTCCAGGTTCACAACTCCCCAATCTACCACACTACAGGATGAACCCTAAAGATAGGGCAGAGCTTAACCGACAAGTTAGTGGATTGTTGGAAAGGGGTTATATCCAGCATAGTATGAGTCCTTGTGCAGTACCTGCTCTTTTAACCCTAAAGAAAGACGGCTCTTGGAGAATGTTTGTAGACAGCAGAGCCATCAACAAGATCAACATCAAGTGTAGGTTTCCCATTCCTAGACTTGATGACATGCTTGATTTAGTGTCTGGATCTAGTTAGTTTCAAAAATTGACCTCAGAAGTGGTTATCATCAGATCAGGATTAGACCTGAAGATAAGTGGAAGA